AAGCGGCGCGTTAAAGGTCTACTTTAGTGCCAGCCTTAATATCCAGTCAGGAACTAGCAGTGTCGGTGAAGCTTACAAAGTCTTCAGAGAAGGCGTCATTTCTTCGGCAATAAACATAGTTGGGATCTGGATGGAGGTAATTAAACTGCCCTTGTTTACGGAGAAAACCGTAACCCTTAAAGTACAAAAGGATCACACGTCGAAGAAGTACTTGCAGCACACCTTACGGCACCCTTGAAGACAGCTCATCGCTGTCTCTTTCCTCCAGTCATCCCAGGTTGTAGATGGGTCATGAAAATTTGCTGAAGGAAGAAATCAGGAAGATCGAAGAGGCAGCTAGAAAAAGTGATTGGCAGGTATTCAAAGAAGCTTGTCAGTTTTCCGGTAAGTGGGGACTCGATCCATCCTTATCTAAGACACTGTGGGCGTCCGACTGGCAAGTCGAAAGGAACGCCGCATATGATTAGCTGAATATTTCCAGAATCTGCTCAAAACCTGTCCTCCAGATTCGTCGTTTCCGTCCGTTAGTTGTCTGTCATACTGGAGGTCAATTCAGGTGCACCCAGTGAAACAGAAATCCAAGAAACCTTGCTACACCTCAAAATAAGGTAGGCCTACGGGATGATTCGAATTCCTTTGGTGTTAATTTCTTACGGACGAACAGAAATCATAGAAAAGCTCCACGTTTTATTTCATCGAACGTGCATAAATCTTTTGCATAGCGTGCTCCTGCCCTGTCCAAATTTTCACTCTGTTTAGGATCATTGAGCAATACTAACGATTGTAGTTACCTTGGTTTACCAACTTGTTAGTTGCTCGTTTCTCTGTTTTTGTATTCTTCTATCTATTGATAACTTGAACTATTGGGTTTCAAATTTTACTTAGGCATTTATCAGCTTGTGGACAGGGTTAAACCAGCGAAAATGTTTTGATCGATTTGTTTTCTGCATTTCTTGTGTATTTTTAGTTTGCTATTCAGAAATTAGCTAAACAGTTCTGTTTATCACGTGATCTAATAAAATCTGCTTGTGAATGTGCCGTAAAAGAGACGATGTAATTTGTCTGAAATAATGTGGGCTGCACATGTGGTTTCCAATTTCTATGTCGTGTGTGGGTTTGAGATATTCATTTGGATCTGTTTTGTTTGTTACAAAAAGCTCATTTTTAGAATACTTTAATATCCAGCTGCGAGCACACAGAAGAATTTATCGTTCCTTACGGTCTGATGGGATTGGCAATCGGTTCACATGGTTCGAACATTCAGCAGGCCAGATCGGTTTCCGGCGTAATCGACATTCAGATCAGTGAACCGGGTGAAAACCAGCCGGTTTTGTTCAAAGTCTTTGCCGAAAATGCTGACTCTGCGAAGCAGGCTAGAAATATGTTGGAATTCGCTGAAGAGTCTTATCACGTTCCTAGGGACATGGTAGGTGAGTACTTTGTTTTAGAACTGTGCTTCTTGTATTACTAAAATTTTAAAGGCAAAGTAATCGGCAAGAATGGAAAAGTAATTCAAGAAATTGTGGACAAATCCGGAGTGGTGAGAGTTAAGATCGAGAGTGATAACAACACTAACAATGACTCGCGTTCAGAAGTGAGTACACGTTAAGGAGTTTTTTTGTCATTACTTATTTTTAGGTTCCGTTTGTGTTTGTTGGAACGATGGAAAGTATTAGCAACGCAAAGTTCTTGTTAGAATTTCACCTGCAGCATTTGAAAGTATGTTTCGTCTCTAGCGTTTGCGATGAAAATTGACCACTTGAAAGACCTGCAAAACAAGTAGTTCGATGGCTCTAAATGACTGGCTTTGCCAGAAGTACGAGATGTTCAGTGGAAAGACCGCCCGCTTTGATATTCACAATGAAACATACGCGCGAGTACTGTAAATGAGTGCATGTAGGTTGTCTTAAACGATAGGAAAATCGGCAAGTTGGTGTTGACTACGTCGCTTCAGTATATCAGCCAGTAAACTGTGACTTCACGACAATTCACGTTAGTTGTAGGTGCAGTTGGTCACGGCTAGCAGAAGATTTCGATTTCTAGCAGAAGATTTCGTTGTTCCCCGTCAGTAAGTACGTGCACCTTCGGCCTTTAATATGACCGAAATCCTCCGTTCGGCAGTGTTAGTTTTTGTGCTCCCGGTACTGTTCTTAATTAGCTTTTAGAAGTTTTCTATACGATTTATCGATATGTTTCGTTTTCTTAGGACTTTTTTCTCGATCATCAGGTTGTTCCTCAAAGTATATCCCAAACCTCGCCTTCGGAAACTACCAGAAAAACAATTAGTAAACAGTTATTATCGTGATATCTCAGTATCCAGTATGTCGTGATTGACACGCTTTCTTTTGGAGACTCGGGTGTAACTAATATTCCCATTAAATGACAGTTGGTGAGTGTGGGTCTCGTTGAAATGCACGTTTTGCATTTCTGAGTCGATAGGTATTTAGATATTCACGTTCATGCTAGTGATCTCTAGAAATTTAAAAAACATCGCGATACCGAAATCAACATATCGCCATATCTGAATAAATGCATTAATGTTCTGTTTGTCCCAAAAATTTTTTGTAACAATCCGCAATGTTTCGTCGGCATTAGGCGTCGAGAGTCGAATGCCCAACGCGTTAGTTTGTTGCACAGAGCTATGTTCCTTTCGTCCATCTCAATAATGTTCATGCTTTTCACGAATAACTGTGGAGTAAAATAGACTCTCTAACCGTAATCGTTTCATAGCTCAAGCGTGTAAAGCTTAGGAATAGGTCACCGGAGTGTGGTTGCATTTAACAGTCTGTCAATTATATTTTTCAGTCGAAAACGCGGATACCATATCTCTGAGAGCCTTCAGAGTTGAAATTCCAGCAGTTTGCATGTGCATATCTGAAGTTCACCTAACATTCCTAAACTATACCTAAAGGTACAAATTTTGGGTTCTTGAAGTCAGCTTCAACCGTTAAATCTCCTACTTCTTCGTCTTTATTCATAATAAGCGCTGTTTTCTACAGTCGACGTAAGTTTCTAATCTCTTAGACTGCTCTCCGTTTTTCACTAGGTGAGGTAGTGTTTTTGTCTAGTAGCGAACAAACTATTCACGTATGACTTCGATAAAAAAATCGTACCACCGTATTTGCCGTCGATCTCGAATTACAGTAGTAATTATGCATCTGATGGTGTCTAATTGGTTCTTTTGATTCAAAATTATTCTCATTATCATGATATAAGGTGAATTATTTTTATATAGCAGATTTTTGGCTGGAGTGACGACTTGTGATTGATTGAAATGACTATTTATATATTAAATGTTGTTCGTGCTATTGCAGACATGATGCGTATTGTCGCACCCAGTTCTGCTTAATCGTTTGTTCGGTTATCCAGTGCAGTTGAAGAGGGCCATA